GGATCTTCCAGGACCGGGGCACGAACCCGTGTCCCCTGCATCGGCAGGCGGACTCTCAACCACTGCGCCAACAGGGAAGCCCTATCCTAATTTTTAAGTGAGGTATTAGATCTTCTTGGCCCTTGATTACCATTTTGATCCATTAAAATTGTTCTATATTATCTTGTAATTTTTGAATAAGTGGTTAGTGCTATATTCCACCTTATAGCTTTTTCAGAAACTCTTTGTGTTCCAAATGAAATTTCTCTTGAGGACCAGATGCTCTTGTTAACTACAAGATATTTCTCTGTGGAAGGTTGATAGCACCATATCTAAAAACAACTCATTGAGATTCCAGTGGAAATTAAAATTGGAATTCCTTTGCAATCCCTTACATCTATACTTTAGATTTTATGTTCTGACTGTGATCCGTTTGGCACTGTATCTTGGCAAAGTATCTTCATGTACTTCGTTAAGACAGATTCTAAAATCATGTCTGTGTTCATTAGAAAAAAATGTTATGATTAATTATCAGTAATAGAAATGCTGCTGTTGCTACTGCTGCTGCTACTACCACCACTGGCCACCTCTTATACATAGCATTTAACCATGTTCTAGGTGCTATTTTAAATACTTTACATGTAATTACTTATTTAATTTTAACAATCATATGAGGTGAATAGTATTATTTTCCCCGTTTTTTAGGTAAGGAATTTGAGGCATAAAGAGGCTAAATGATTTTCAGTGTCTGCAGTAGGCTTCAGAGAGGGAGAATTTTTGCAAGTACTGTATATTTGCTGTAGGTAATGACATGCATTAATTTAGTAAAGATGGTTGATCAGCTACTATGTGTTATAGATGCTGTGAACTGTGAAGACGTAATACTAAATCTGGAAGCCTGTTTCTATGTTTTCTGATTAAAGAGTGTCTACTTTTCTTCTGGCATTCTTCAGAAATCTTCTATATACAATCACTGTTCTGAAAATTATTTACTATGTACACATATATCTTTGTTACACAATAAATATATGTAATTTATTTCATGACACATTGGGTGTTTTCCTACAGCTAAGTTATTATTTAAATTAGAAACTTTCTTAAGCAACTTCTTATCTAATTTGACAATGAACAAATGTTCTACACTCCATCTGTAAAACGCTGTTACTGATGCTTTTGTCATCCTAAGCTTTCACAACTAGGAATTGGTGACTGGGAGTTGCCTAGCCCTGATGCTCTGGCTCATTTCTGCTCCCACTAGTGGAACTGTATTCTCAAAAGAATCGCATTCTTACAATTTGGTTCCCAAATCTCTTTCTACTCCTTTTACTTGTTATTCTAATTAAGTAATTTCATTAAATCTGATATAACCAACTGAATATGAATGTGAAAAGATTTTTTTTTGGAAAACTTAAGTTGAATGCTTTGTAAAGATAATAAACCAGTGGTGGGATGTGGCTATGGGCCATAGTTTGCCAACTCCTGATTTATAGTACTGTGCTCTCTCCTTTGTCCTCTTACACTCACAATTCAGTTAACTCCTCTTTAAGTAGCCTTAAACATACATCTTCTTTTACTGCTTTTGTCTTTCCACTAGGATTTAGCTCTTGTTCAGCTACCTCAGGAGATACTCTTTTTTTGTCTCCTTTTCTTCTTTTATTCTTTCAGTTTATGAGTCAAAAAATAATTATTACAAAGAATGTACAAATGCATATAAACCTCATAAGAATGAATTATTGTAGAATCTTTCTGTGATGTTCGTGGGGTTTCTGTGATGTCTCTGGAGTAAATTATAGGTGAAGTTTCATTATAATGATATGTTATTCTTCAGTAATGAACTCTCCTTTAGTATGTTTCAAGATAAATGCATGAAATAGTAAATAATATAGAGTTAAGATTCAGTATAATTTTACCTACTTAGGAAAACAACCCTCCATCACAGTTTTAAGCGTAATATTTTACTTTCTTTGGGATTGTTGTTGATGTTTAAAAAAGCGTGCAACATGCAGACAGTGTGGTGTTCTGGTTAAATGAAGAAACAGGAGTCAGATATGCTGAGTTATATGTGACCTATAAGACATTCACACTTGGATACCCTGCCTGGACTTTTTAAGAAAACTAAGTTCTCTCGTTTGTAAACTGTTACATACAACTATCTAAGAATTCAGGGAGATAATGCATATAAATTGCTTAGCACACTACCTGTCATATAGTAAGCCCTCAGTAATTGCTGACTGCTAAATAATGTAGTTTCCCCCTAGTTATAGGCCTGGGAATAAGATATCTTGCTAACATAAGTACTGTATTTTTGTTTTGTTTTCTGTCTGAGAAGTAAAGTGGATTATTCCATTTCTGTAAATTAATTTAGAATCTTGACATTTTGTACATTATTAATTATTATTTGATAACCCCGAACTGTATTTAGGACTGTAAATACCTTTTACCAAAATATATTCTTTAACATTAAACATAATTTCAGACTCTGATTAAACTTCAGTCATGGTATGAAATTTAATTTAAGGTCTCATGTGTTTCATTAGATTAGTGATCTCTTTGCCCTTGTGTTTAGTCTGTCATGATATTATATGAAACTTAAAACCTTCAGAGCATTTGTATTTTATTCAAAGTACATTCATCATTATCCATAGTATCTAATGTGCTGCTGTACCTGTCTTTGCGTTCAACTTCTGATCCATCTAATTTTCTTCTCTGTGACTATTGGCAAAAAAATTTCAATTCTGAATTCTTAAGGCTGAAGAAGAAACTTCAAAGATAGTTTTCAAACCTGGTTTATATCTTCTTGAAAGGTGTTATAACACATTGAGCAGTGCAGTGCAATAGGGATGATTAATTTCACTCTTGCATCATTCCTCTAGGCAAGTTTCTCATTTTCCCATTTTAAAAATTCATTTAGTCTTTTTTAAGCATAGGTAGGAATAATGATGAAATAATTTATAGGATAATGAAATAGCAAAATATTTTGAGATAAAGGAAAATAGATGACTAAGATTCTGTAATGTATCTTAGATTTATAAAAGGGTACAGTAGAGCCGTATGATCATTACAAGAAGAATGTGTCTTATTCTATTAAAAAATAAGTAAAATTTATCTTTAATCTTTGGAAGACTTCTAAGAAAGAAAAATGTCCTGAAATAACACTCCTTACAAATAGTTAAAACTACTGAAAATGGAAACTCCAAAACTAAAATTGGGTCCAGTAGATCCTGTATATCAAGAGACGAAGATGTAATATCTTTTTACTCTTTTTGAAGATGCTTATTAAGGTTTTGTTCTTAAAGTTTTTTTATGTTCTCTGAATTGTTGTCCCCTCCTCACAGAATCAGGTTTCTCTTTCTCCTCTTGCCCTCCATTCCTCTCCCCTCTCCTTTCCTCTCTCCCCACTTCCCCCATTCCTTCCCCCTTTCTCTCCACTCATCTCTTCTCCTCCACTCCCTCCCCTCCCCAGTGTCCTTCCTTCTTTCTTTCCTTCCTTCCTTCCTCCCTTCCTCCCTTCCTTCCTTCCTTCCTTCCTTCCTTCCTTCCTTCCTTCCCTCCCTCCCTCCTTCCTTCCTTCCTTCCTTCCTTCTATCCGTTATTGTTCTGTGTCTGGTAATGGCTTACTGTTTACAAATTTACAAATGTAGCTATGGTTTATTTTAGGTTGTAGACATTTGTTTGCTTTGTATATAATGAGTTTGTTTTTTCAACTTGATCTCTTTTTTTGAATTGGAAATCTGACAGAGACAAATAGTACTTACATAGGGCACATTGATTGAAAGTGTCAGTCTAAGGTGGGTGGGAAGAGAGCCTTCTGACTGTAGACCCCCTAATATGATAATGCAGATGGATTTATTCTGGGTGCTAACACCCTCATTAGAAGCCTTACCACTTCCTGGTCTATCAGTGAAACTTCCTTGGAAAGCAGCCTGTGTTGCAGGAAGGGGTTGGTGTTAAACACTGAGATACCCTACCTGCCTACCTGGAGTTATTTTCAAGGGGAGTGAGGGTTAGGGTGGGTGCTCATTGAAACAGTTGTCCTATGTGTAAACTTTTCATGAGCCCTGATTTTGGCTCTATTTTTCACTGTCACCCTTAATCCCAATGGCTGCCATCTTTGCTGTAGCTACTTTAGAGTATCTTCCGGATGCATCCTCCTCTGTCCATTTGACCCCTTAACCATTTACTTTCCCAACTTCCTGAAATATGTTGATATCGTCTCTCCCTCTCCTTCACTCCCCTCTCCTCTCCCTTCACTGTTCTGGGTTTATCCTTTTCTATGTCTATACTGCCTTGAGTATATTACTGAGAAGGAAGGAAGTCAAGACACACTCTCAGTGTGCAATTTTCTGAAACTACAGTTTTTGCTGCCACCAGTGATTGAAGTTACTTGTTTTCATAGCAACCCAACTATCATTAAATTTGCTGGGGGTTTTTTGCCAGCTTAAATTATATAAAATTGCTCTCGTTCTAATGTGTAACCTTTTATAGATAACCAGCAAATCATCATTTTCCCTTTTGAGTTGTTCTCATATAGTTTTCTATGAGTTGTTTGTTCATTTGACTTCGATATTTACTGTAAAATCTGGGTTTTATAACCAGTTTTCATAGTATCTTTATGCAGTATATTGACTCTTCATCACATTTGCTGCAAATATCTTCTAGTTTTTTGTTTTCACTCTAAATTTAATTATGTTTATTTTAGAAATTATATTATTTGAATATGTTTATCTGCTTCATGGTTTCTAAACTTTGAGGTAATAAAGTTATTACACCTCCAGACAATTTACAAGTGTGGTTTTTATTTTTGTTTCATTAAACTTTCTAAAATGAATTTTTGTGGAACACTTTTGCAAAATAATTTGGCAGTGCATTTTGAGAGACAAGAAAATTTCTTTATGTTTTGATCCTATTCTTAGAAGACTTGATTAAAGGGTAGAATAATGTTTGGTGTTTTGAACTCAGTATTATTTTGTCAAATGCTTTGAAATACGAAAAGTCAGGTAAAATATTTTTGTGTTTTCCAGATTATTGCTCAGTTGTAACAATTGTGGACCAGACACATGTAAAGTTAACCTGCCTGTTCTTTAGTGGAAATTATGAAGCCCTTCCAATGATTTATAAAAATGGAGATATTGTTCGCTTTCACAGGCTGAAGGTATAATTCATACTGTTTAGAACTTATATTTGTTTGAAGAGAACGCTGTATTGCTCACTAAAACTAGTTACACTAATTATGTGGTTGCTTTGTTAGAACATGACGTCAGGCATTTCAAGCGACAAGAAGAAATGTAAATAGTATCAGACTTCAAATGATTTATATTAGGAAACCTCTTCATTTGAGCAAACTACCTGACATCCTTCCACAGAAATGTGTTAGCTGCCGCGATTCCAACTAGTTGCATTCCGTTAGAAAACATTTAATAAAAAGGTAGAGCTATTAAATGGTATGTGATTTTTTAAAAATCAGCTTTTTAACCCTTTAATATTTTCAGTCTTTTAGGTTTTAAACATTTCAGTCCCTTCATAGTTTGCTTTTGTTACATGGGTTTTCATGCAACCCCTTCACTATCTTGGTTGTCTTTTCTTCTATTGCTTCAGTTTATCTGTGGTCCTCATGGTCACTGATGCTCATAAATGAGTGCAATAGTCCAGATGTCTTCTAGTCTTAAGATATGGTGGGAAACAACTCTCTTGCTCTATTAATGCCTTTTCCCTGAGAATAGAAGAATATTGGAGAACATTTGCTTAAAGATAAAGAGAACTAGAAATATTACTATTGTAGCACTATATTACGGGCTTATCCAAACTTCAAAAAAATAGCTTATTTCTCACACACTGCTGTTTCCTGTAGTACAGTTGACCCTGAACAGCACAGTTCTGAACTGCTTGGGTCCACTGATGGGCAGATTCTTTTCAGTAGTAAACAGTGCAGTACTACAGGATCCCACGGTTAGTTGAATCCATAGATGCTGAACTGAGGATAGAGGGCCGACTGTTAAGTTATAAGGGGATTTTGGGCCGACTGTTAAGTTATAAGGGGATTTTCAACTGCACAAATGGTCAGTACCCCTAACGCGCGTGTTCAGGGGCCAACTGTATTTGTAATTCTTGCTATTGTTTAACTGAAGTAAAATATACATCTCTCTTTTCACAGTATTAGCATGCTCATGTTACTAACACTCTAGAAACGTCCTTTGTACCCCTACCTGGGGTTGTCATTCACACTCCCCCCCGCCAAGAGTAAATAATCTCACAACTTCTAACAACATATATAGTTTCATATGTATTTGTTCTTTATATAAAGGAAATACACTATAGTTTTTTGGGGTGTTTTTGTTTTTTTTTAGTTTCTGGCTTATGCTTGTATGAGTCAACTGTACTATTACATATAGTTTTATTTTGTTCATTTTCACTGCTAAATGGTATTCTGTCCAGCCAATGTTTGAATACACCAGAATTTATATATTTATTCTGTTGGTCGTTTAGGTAGTTTTCAGTTTGAGGCTATTATGCTGCTATAAACAGTCTAGTACATACATTTTACTGAATATATATAATTATAATATATTATATTATATATTATATTATATTATATATATTATATATTGTATATTATAATATATATAATTTACTGAATATATATAATTATATGTAATATAATATATACATTTATATGTAATTATAATATATATTACATATTATATATTGTATAATATATGTTGTATATGTATAATATACAATATATATTGTACATTATATATTGTATATATTGATATATATGCATTTCAGTTGATTGTATACCAAGGAGTGTGGTTCGTGAGTTCAGGGTTGTGCATATATTAGCCTTTAGTTTTCCAAAGTGTTTTTTACCAACTTACACTCCCATTAGAGATATAAGAGAATTCCAAATCTCTTCAGAGAACCAGTTTTTAGCTTTGATTTTCTCTATTGTATGTTTCTATTTCTCTTACCTTGATTATGTTTTCTTTCCACTTTCCTTGGATTTGAAATAATATTCTTTGTGCAGCTTCTTGAGATAGAAGCCTAAATTTCTGATTTTTAACCTTTCTTCTTTTGTAAAATACTCACTTATTTCTGTAAATTTTTCTCTATGTATTGAATACTACTTTAGTTATATCCAACAAGTTTTAGCACATCATAGCTTAAGTATCCTTCAGTTCAATATATTTTCTAATTTCCAGTAAATATATAAATACATTTATTAATATCAGACAGTATTACAGGAGACTAAAGGAGGTATTTCATAAGTTCAAAAGGGTTGCTTTATGAAGAAGATGTAACAGTCATAAATGCATGTGCATCTAATAACTGAGCCTTGAAATTCAGAAAGCCAATGTTTTTAAGACATATCCCAGCTGTCTCAGTCAGACTGATGAGCCCTTAGCCTCAGCTGCATTTTACTCACTTCAAACTCTTTTATTTTAAGTGTTCTAGTTTTCCCTATAATATTCATAAATGTTACTTATTATCCTTTTATGAATTATACCTTAATAAAAAAACTAATAAATGTTTTGTTAGTAAAACTGCAAGCCTGATAGTATTAGGGAGGCTGCCACCTAGCTCTTTAAAAAATAAAAATAATCTTGCATAGTGTTTTACGGTTTACATGGTGCTTGTGGATTTTGATATAGCCCAGTAGATTTTATAATTTCATATGCTAATTAAATGAAATATTTAAAGAATTATGTCCTCTGTTAACTATGCTGGCAGGATTTTATAATCTCACAAGTGTTTCCAGTTCCTAGGTTCTGGATCAGTAAACCTGTTTTGTTTGTTTCTGTTTTGTTTTCTACTTTGCCACTTTCTTAGATCCAAGTATATAAAAAGGAGACTCAGGGTATCACCAGCTCTGGCTTTGCGTCTTTAACATTTGAGGGAACTTTGGGAGCTCCTATCATACCTCGTACTTCAAGCAAGTGTTTTAACTTCACCGCTGAGGACCACAAAATGGTAGAAGCATTACGTGTTTGGGCATCTACTCATATTTCACCTTCTTCAACATTAGTGAAATTGTGTGATGTCCAGCCAATGCAGTATTTTGACCTGACTTGTCAGCTCTTAGGCAAAGCAGAAGTGGATGGAGCATCATTTCTTCTAAAGGTAGATTTTTTTTTAAGTTTATTTATGTATTTATTTTATCATTTTAATCATTTTTTTACATCTTTATTGGAGTATAATTGCTTTACAATGGTGTGTTAGTTTCTGCTTTATAAAAAAATATGGAACGCTTCACGAATTTGCGTGTCATCCTTGCGCAGGGGCCATGCTAATCTTCTCTGTATCGTTCCAGTTTTAGTATATGTGCTGCCAAAGCGAGCACAGGTAGATATTTTTAAATACTGGAAATTGTTTTGTAAGTTACCATGACCTATAAGCCTGTAAAGAGCTTATATTTTCAGCATTCTGGTGGAATAAATATGCATACTGTGTACTAAGAACTTAAAATCTAACCATTTTTAATGAGCCTGTAATTTCTATGCAACTTTACTCTTGAACTTCTCTTCTTTATCCTGTATTTCTAGAGAAAAATAGTATTACCAGATCTACATTTTAAATATAGTATTGTTTATATTGTGTTTATATATTTCTTATTAGTACTAGCAAAATGAGTTGTTTTCTATTGCTATTTTTAAGTTGCAGCTCTAAAAATGCATATTTCTGTTTCCCTATCAAGATGTAGCCTTCCTTCTCACTCATTTGCCTTCTTCTTGGCCCACTGATGTTGGGTTCTCTTCCCATGTTATTTCACTGTCTGCTTCATAGGTAGATGATGGATGGTTTTGAAGTGTTTATTTTTCTTCTTATATTTTATTTTGTTCTTAAATCTGTAGGAAAAAAAGTGACATAAGACCCATCTAATCTTTGTTTACACCTATCCCAATTTATTCATGAATAGCTTCTGGAGAGGGCAGTTGTCTGATACCATCCTCACCTACCTAGCCTAGGCAGGATGCATTTAAACAAACACTGCTTCAGCCCTGCTTCTCTGGTTCTTTAGCTTCTGACTCTTTGGAACGATGGAACAGGAAATGGAGTACAGTGGCCCTTGGACAAATATTGGGGTTTAGCATTATTATCAGTTATACCTTGCCCATATTAAAGAATAGTGAAGATAGAAATTATTGAATAAAATACAAAGTTTTTGAAGTTGAAAATAGCACATATTTATATACACATGAAATACTCTGAAAAAGTAAATGCATGCTATAAAAAAACATAAATAAGTTAAGTATGACAAAATTGAAGCTAAAGCAACATAAAATCATCCAAACAAAATGAGGAGGTCAGCCAGTCATACTTTATGCCCAAAGTGACATATTTAACAAATGAGTGTTTGCTAATCACTGAACACTTCCAATGACAACAAATCAGCTGTGCAGAGAAGTATTCTCCACCTTTTGGCTGCTGTATTGAGCGTAAATTCTTAAATTCTGAGATAAAACCTGCCACCTTTTAGCTGACGTAGCTGAATCTACATTTTCCTTCTAAAGCAAGAAAACATGCCTGCATCCCATTTTTATAGATAGCCTTTTCGGATAAATAAAAACAGCTTTCATGTAGATATTATTTTAAAATACAGCATTCAGAAGTGAATGTAAGAAATTACATTAGTAAGACTTTCTTGAGGACAGTTTAAAAGAAATCTCAAAAGTCTTTCTATGCTCTTCGTCTCAAACTCTATTTTCATAAATTTATTTTATAGTAATAACTTAAAATGTGGAAAAATGCCTTTAAAGGAATATTTATCCTTATATTTCTTGCAGTAACAAAAATCAGAAAAAACTCGCATACTAGCGATAGAGAATTTTGTGAATTATTTATGTGTTGTGGAATACTGTGTGACTATAAAATGACATTGTAGACATACTTATTGATATAGAAATTCACAATATTCTCTTTAGTGATTAATGTGCTTTCATTTATATACTAAAAATGTATTATATGCATAGCAAAAAATATATTGAGAGGACTATATAGCAATATTTTGCTCATTTTATCTATGGGAAGTCAAATTTTAAGTGATTTTTTTTTCTGAAATTGGTTTTCCTATCCCAAACTATGAATAATTTTTTAAAATTTTGTTTTGAAAACAGAAGGAGCCAGACCTTACTCCAAATGAGTTCTGGTCAGCATGGAATATAGCATAATTATTTCCTGTCTCAACTGAGATATGATGCTAATATTGGTCTCTTTATTAGTAACTACAATACATTCATTTTAATTATTCTAGCAGATATGATTCCCCCACATACTGTTGTTTCTAAAAGAAGTTAATTTTAATTATAGGTTATTAAGACTATAATGTTGATAAGAAGAGATTAAAGGCTATGGTTGGGGGTATACTCAAAGATAAAATTTAGAGCCTTAAATGTCTTCATGAACAAAGAAAGAAAAAAAAGTATAGCATATCAGAATAATCTTTCAAGTCAAGAAATTGAAAAATTAACAAACAATTATAGAAAGTAGTATTTTAATAAGGTAGTATTTTAATAAGGTATTTAATTTTGGGATAGATAATTTTAACATTGCCCAGAAATTTAAAAGATATTTTAAAGTGATATATAGTAAAAAAAATTTCTCTCCTTGACTTCCTCTCTTGTCCCCGTGCTGCTATAAAATAATAAAAATAACATTAACATTTCAAATTGGCAAAGGATTGTTAAATGGTGATTGTTATCTATTTGGAAAAAAGGATTAGATCTGTATAAAAAAATATGCAGATACCTAACAGATTAAGTTTTGATACAAGATTACTAAAGTTCCAGAATTTCAACACAAGGTCTGACTTATACTCTACTCTCTCAACCCCTCCTTCAGAAGACTTACGGATTGGTCTGTAAAGCCATTTTAAAGTCTCAAAAACATGTACACAAAATGAAAGAACAAATTCCAAGTGAAGAAAAATGCGACATAATGTTACTACTCCCAAAGTGATTGTCCTGGTTCTTTGAATAATTTAGGAAACAGAGTGAGTGACACAAGCTCATGATTGTTTATTTACAACTTAGCACTGTCACCAACATTATTCAGTACTTTCTCTGTAATCTGACCCTGGCAGATACCTGTACAGATATGCGGTGTTTTCCATAAAATAGGCAGAAGACCTAAATAGACATTTCTCCAAAGAAGACTTACAGATAGCCAACAGGCACATGAAAAGATGCTCAACATCACTAATTATTAAAGAAATGCAAATTAAAACTACAGTGAGGTACTGCCTCAGACTGGTCAGAATGGCCATCATTAAAAAGTCTACAAATAACAAGTGCTAGAGAGGGTGTGGAGAAAGGGGAACCTCCTACATTGTTGTTAAGAATGTAAATTGGTGCAGCCCCTGTGGAGAACAGTATGGAGGTTCCTTAAAAAACTGAAAATAGAGTTCACATGATCCAGCATCCTATTCCTATTCCTGGGCATATATCTGGAAAAGACAAAAACTCTAATTTGAAAAGATACATCCAATTTTCATAGCAGCACTATTTACAATAGCCAAGACATGGAAGCAACCTAAATGTCTATTAATGGATAAAGAATATGTGGTGTATATATACAGTGGAATATTACTCAGCCATAAAAAAAGAATGAAATAATGCCATTTGCAGCAACATGGATGGCCCTTGAAATTATAGTAATAAGTGAAGTAAGTCAGAGAAAGGCAAACATCATATGATATCACTTATATGTGGAATCTAAGCAAGTGATACAAATGAACTTATTTACAAAACAGAAATAGATTCACAGACATGGAAAACAAATTTACGGTTACCAAAAGGGAAAGGATGGGGGTAAGGATAAATTAGGAGTTTGGGATTAACAGATACACACGACTGTATATAAAATAGATAAGCAACAAGGACCTATGTATAGCACAGGGAACTATATTCAATATCTTGTAATAACCTATAAAGGAAAATAACCTGGAAAAGATATATGTGTGTGTGTCTATGTGTGTGTATAACTGAATCACTTTGCTGTACACCTGAAACTAACACAACATTGTAAATCAACTATACTTCAATTAAAAAAAAATAACAGTTAAAAAGAAAAGGAAATGTGGTGTTTTCTATTTAAGTAGACTGTTCACTCTTACCCAGCCAAACTTCTGACATGCAGAGGCATTCTCACCTCTCTCCAAATGTCTTTTGTCCAGCCCTTCTATAGCATAGCATAGCCTCAAGCTCATCTCTTCCAACCCTAGCACAGCACAGGCTAGCTGAGGTCTTAAGGATGGGATAGTGCATACTCGTCCTGGGCCCCTGTTCCCATCCCTACCTCAAGGTGACTTAAATAGCAATCCAACCTACCTTTCCCTTTCCATCACCCATGATTGTAGTTCACTTGTGTTCATAACATCTAACATAAACAAAATATTCATATCTGTGCTTTCAAAGGCCTTTTCCAAATCAGAACAAAGTGGAAAAATGGGCAGAGGTCAGATTAGTTCCCTAAAAGCTAGGAATTTATACTTAAGAAAATTAGCAGAGATACTTGTAAAGGTTTATATACAAGATGGTAATTACTAAATTATTTAAAATAGCAAAAATTTTGAAACAAATGGCCAAAAAAGGGATTGGTTTAATAAATTTGTTTTCATCTATAATGTAATGTGAAGCCATTGAAAATCCTATTTTAGAAGAATATTTAAATTGCCTGAAAACTGCCCAGCAATAAATTAAGAAATGAAAAGCAGAATAGAATGCCAGTTTGGTAAAAAGAAAAATAGACATATATATTATAACTACATAGAAGAAAAAAAAGATAAGTAAATTCAACAATATGTTAATAGTTTTTCCAAGCTCATAGCTGTTTGAATTTTTTTCCTTACATTTTATTCATTACCTATACATATGTAGTCCTTTTACAATCAGGAAAGAATATACATCATATTCAAAGTTTAACAGATATTTGGGGGAATATATTTAATTACTTTTAAGCTATGTTACCAGCAAATAAAACTCTTCTAGCCTCCACAATTTTACAAAAAGATCATTAAACTTTTGTTCCACTTCTTATGCAGGTATGGGATGGCACCAGGACCCCATTCCCATCTTGGAGAGTCTTAATACAAGACCTTGTTCTTGAAGGTGATTTAAGTCACATCCACCGGGTGCAGAATCTGACAATAGACATTTTAGTCTATGACAACCATGTTCAAGTGGCCAAATCTTTAAAGGTGATGTTGTGTAGCAAGGATGTTTTGCTCTTTTGTATTTTTATAAATTTTAGGGTAAATCACATGTTAGATGATATTTGAGGTCTAGAAATTAACTCCAGATTAATTTTTTTCTTTAATTTGTAAAATGTGTATTTAAATTATTAGACGATATATTAAATTATAATGGCTTGAACAGCTTTTTTAAAGTTAAAGAATGTTTCCTGAACATCTTAAAGCTGTGCCCAATTTTACTATGGAAAGAAAAATTTTTTTCTGCCATAAAATTTGCTTTAAAATAACAAAGGATGTATAAAATATTTGTAAACTTAAATGATAAGCTCTTTTACTTGGTTTGATAAAATCCAGTCTTCAACTTTTTAATCCACCTCTAAAATATATTGATAAATTGTCTGTGTATACCATACAGTTTATTAGAATTTGCTCACTGTTTTTGAGATGCAGTTTTCTAGGTAAAATAACGCTGCTTAGTTTTGGCACTTCTTGCTTATTAGTAACATTTTAAGGAATATTTTTCTTCATTTTACCATGCCATTTATTTGCAAGTAATCTTTCTTGCAAAGAATGCTGTCATTGATAATAATGATAATAATAGTAACATTTGTTAAAGCACTTCATATGTATTTAGCACTGTCTTGTGCTGTAGGTACTATCATCATTTCTGTTTTACAAATGAGAAAACTGAGGCACTCAGAGGCCCAAGATTTCGCACTTACTTGCGTGAAGCCTGTATTTGAATGTATGTCTGTTTCCAGAGCTAATCTTCTTAAGCAGTATAAAGAAATGAATTTCTTTATTGCAAATAGCTTCCATCCTACATTTAGGGAGGTATATAACCTACTTATGGGAAGAAAATAGGGAAAGTGAATTGTAATTTTTTTAAATCTGAATTTTAGTGCCCGGTTTCTTTTTTGCAAATAAATGTTCTTGGAGAAGGAAATATTTCCACTTTTACACTGTGTTACAAAGAAGCCCACCCAACTCAATAAATTAGGTTAAAGTCCAGGTCAAGGAAGGTGATAACTGTACTCTTTTGTCCTTTATGAGTGTGTTCATACCTTTCATATCAGAAAATTGACTGTTGAAAATATATTTTTGATGCTTTTCCTTGATTTTATCTGCATTGATTAGCTTATTTCAAAAATAAATGTAATGATAAAGCCAATTCTAAAGTCTTTTTAAAATACAGATATAGTTCTTTTACGAATGAAAAAGATTTACATTTTAGATTCGACTTTCACTGTTTTAATTCCCTTCTCTTTCCCTATGCTGTTTCTATAGGTCTTTTGTTCCTCTCTCTTGTCCTGATTTCCTTGTCCCAAGTCCTGGACAGCACCTGCCACAGTGCTTTCCATGTAGTAAGGGTTAAGTAAATAATATCTGCTGGTGAATGCATGAATCAATGAGCGCTGTGAATTTTTTTCAGATTTTTTTCATCTCCTTTGTCTGCTTTATCTCACCCACTAGAGGGTGCTATGAGCATACATAATTAAGAAAATGTAGGGCAATTAATTTTTCTCTAAAGATATCATGACATTTATCTACAATGTAATAGAAAAATGAAAAGGATTTTCTCTGTGTGTAAGTAGTATAACTGTAGGCTTTTATTTAATGTACCTTGACATCACATTTTATTTGTTCTGAGGCAACCTCTATACTAACCATTTCATATTTATTTAAGAAGTGCCCAGAGTCAAATGATATTGATATCAATTAATTCTTGTCAACACTCGACGATAACTGCTTAAAATTGCATATTTATATTGAAATGCATGGATTACATGTATTTTTGTTGAATAGGAACAGGAAAAAAATGTGATTTTTATTTTATGTAATAAAGAGGACAGTTAAGGCAATTGTAAAGCACAATATAATTGAACTCTATATACGATACATTTTACAGCTAAAGTTGCCCTTAACATTTTTCCTAAACCTTGCTTTTTAAGTAAGTTATCTCCTTCCCTAAACATTTTGCACACACACACACACACACACACACACACAACACACACACTTCAAACCTTTTGTCTACAAACAAAAGCAGTGTATTTTCAATCCCCAGACTTATTCTGACACAATTTAAAAATAATTATAAAACACACGTAGTTCTAATTATGTTTGGCATTCAGTGACCCAAGAACTGTATTTTGGTTATTTTCAGACACATACAGGTCATTAAAAATATTAAACCTAAAGGGAAATTTTTGAAAGTTTATAAGGAATATTTAAATTATTTCTAAAGGAATAAACATTTCTTAATAGCCAGTTTGCTTTGCTTTATTTTTACTGTTTCTGTATTAAAAAGGGCTTTTACAACAATTTTTAGAGGTATGTTTTATAATTTTTTTGTTATTACCAATAAGACGATTTGTTTGTTATGTATTTGTCTATTATAACAGAGCATCTGGCACGTTTTATAATATATTTAGCAAGCTTAAAAAAATATACAATGCTGCCTCCAGAAGGAATTTCTGGAAATAACAGTTTGTCATTTTCATAGCCTATATATATAAAATTCTCTCTTGGTCTTTAAAATATAATTTTGTTTTATTATGAAATACAATAGTAAAGAAGATAGTATAACAAACATCTACGTGCCTATCATCCAAACTTAACATTTCTAAATGTTTTGCACACTTATTTCAGGTACTTTTAATTTTAAGAAATGAAATTTCTACATGTGGAACCTTCTTTGTACCTCTGCTTGTTCTAATTTTTTGCTCCCAAATATCCTTTTTATTTATCCTAACATGTACGTGTGCACACCCATGTTTATTATGCTTTTATTTTATATACTTTTGTCTGAAAAATGCATATGGTTATGTATCATTCTATAATTTGCTTTTTTCCTTTGACATTATATTTGTAAGATTTATCCGTGTTCATATATGTGTCTGCATTAATACCAGCCTGTCTTAATAATCATACCTTTATTTTTAAATGATATTTCATAGGTTAAGCCCTCACTCCCAGTTCAGTCTTCAAAAGTAACTTGACTGTTCACTTTCAGATCAGTTTTTACAATTCCTTGAAAGGCACTGGAGATTTAGATAGAAACTGCATTGATTTTAAAGAATAATTAATTAGGAAATTATCTTTATAATATTGAAACTTTTCATTTATGATTATGGTATCTTTCGCCTTGTGTCTGGCCTTCTTTAAGTCCTTTGTAGATTATATACATTTACTGCACTAATATATTATGTATATTAAAAAGAATTACAGAGTAATAAATGTTCAAAAAGAATGACATAAAAGTAAATAGAAATAGACATATTTCCTTCCATCATCTTACTTTGGAGAACATGAGGAAAATCAGTTTTGTCATCTTGTGTGTGTGTGTGTGTGTGTGTGTGTGTGTGTGTGTGTGTGTGTGTTTTCCTTCTCTGACTCTATTTACCCTGCTCCCCTGCTGTTCTGTCAGTGGAAGAAGTCAGAGAAGAAAAGACTAAGTGCCTTACCTCCTTATAAAACCCATGATTGGATGGGAAAAAGATCCTTGAGGATGAAGGAGTAGCTCTGGGAGTGTGGATTTTTTCCCCTTATTTTTTCCCCCCATTTCTCTCCTCCATCACATCCAGAGGGTGATGAGGAGAAATACAATGAACTGAAACAGCAGTAAGCAGAGGTGGGAGGTTGGTTTACTACCTTCTCTTTCTTTATTTTCCCCCATGTATAGCTTTTCTGTTACACAGAATCTCACCACGGTTAATCTTGACCTTGTAGGAAAAAAAGAATGGTAGTCCCACAGTCATCAGCAGTCAGGAGTGCTGCTTTATACAAATGAATTAAATTTCCTAGTTGGTAACTAACTCCTTTTGTTTATAACTCTTTCTTCATAAAAATGTGATTTAGGCAATACAGCTTCTTCCTTTGAGTATGTGTCAGTTTCTTTAATAAACATTCTGCATCTGTCTCTTTTTAAGTCTTCTACATTAAAAGAATATCAAATACTCCGTAATTAAAGATATTTTTAAGACTAAGTTTAGCAAAACATCTAAAATTATAGGACATTTCGTTCAAAACTATAATTGGTTTAAATCTATATTTGAACTCATAGAAGGTGTTTCACATTATGGTGTACAGACAAAAATATTTACAGAAATTTTCTTTCCATAGAACTTGTGGAATAGAGGGGGTTTATTATTTTGGTAGAATAGCACATTTAAACATACTTTCTAGTATTCTTATAATGAGAGTGTTTTAGTGATCATATTTAATTAAATCTTACCTTAAATTAGTTAAAGTAGGTTATTTTCAGAAACCTTAACCAAATAGGTTCTTAATCAAATAGAGGGCTTGGATTTGATGTAGGTAATAGGTTTCTTAGCTACCATATCTTACCAATGCTAAGACTCAAACTTATTTAACATTTTTAATATCTCTAAAATGGAAATATGCCTTTACATTTGAAAAATACATACATATCTATACATTCATATGTATGTATACAAACACATACACACACACACACACAGACGTTTTGGTTTTGATACAGTGTCCTTGGGGCTGATATTGAGTACACATTAGTAGAACATACCACTTTCCTTTCTGATGAGTCAACATCCCGGGTTATTGGTCTGTGCCCCATGTTAGTTGTTAAATATTGTATCAAAAATTGTGTGATTTTTCTCCATTTTCTAAATAATAAATCATCTGCTTTTAGGTTGGAAGCTTTCTTAGAATTTATAGCCTACATACCAAACTTCAGTCAGTCAATTCAGAGAACCTGGCAACATTTTTAGCCCTAGAGTTTCATCTCCATGGAGGCACCAGTTACGGTCGGGGAATCAGAGTCTTGCCAGAAAGTAACTCTGATGTGGATCAACTGAAAAAGTAAGCATATTATAAACCTATTTAGAAATTGTAAATAAGGTATTAATTAAGCTGGTTTCTAGGATAATATTGTTCTGAGGTGGGAAGGGGGGCTCTAAGAGGTCTCTTGTAATTGATCCTCAGAGCCTTCCTTGCCATTCATTATTCATTTTTTTAAATAGATGAACCAAATGAAACAAATCAAGTGATTGTAGGTTCAAATAGCTACATAGTAGCAGAGCTGGGTTTATAGTCTAGGTTTTCCAATAGTTACTTATGCTTACCTCTAAGGTTACTAATAGTTACCTCTACTCTTTGCACTCATGTTCTTCTACCATTTGCCACCTTCTCCAGGTACAGAAACAAACAGTGGAAACTGGAGCTTAGCTAAAGTTTGGAAAACTTGATATATATGTCTAGGGTGCCAAACATACTTGATCAATCATGGACAAAATACTGCCTTTTTTTTTTTTTTTTTTTGCGGTACGCGGGCCTCTCACTGCCGTGGCCCCTCCCGTCGTGGAGCACAGGCTCCGGACACGCAGGCCCAACGGCCACAGCCCCACGGGCCCAGCCGCTCTGCGGCATGCGGGATCCTCCCGGACCAGGGCACAAACCCGCGTCCGCATCGGCAGGCGGACTCCCAACCACTGCATCAGCAGGGAAGCCCCAATACTGCCTTTTTAAAGTGCGTATAACCGAGAAAATAGGTAATGGAAATATTTCAGGGTATCATATTTTTAAAACTTTTAGGTGTGCCCAGAAAGTGAATAGTACCTTAAATCCTGCTACACTTGCAGTTCCCTTTTCCTTGAAGTACTCCTGTTAATGATGTGTGCAGAAACTCTTCGACCCGTATTCTAGGGAAATAAAAATTCTTCTACATATTTTCAAAGAGTTACAGAAAATATCCTTTTCAGTAAATTGAAATGACATAGCTATTTTCCAGGTTTTAATATATTGAAATCAATATGATTTTATCATCAATGAAATTAGCTATTTTAATAACCTTCTATCAGTTTCCCTACTTTATTTCTCATATTGCAATATATAGCCACATAGTATTTCACTACTTGAGTCTAGAATGAGATTTTTCTTACTTAGAATGTCATCCATTAAATACCCAGCTTATTTGCAGTATTTCATCATCCCACTGTTGTACTTGTGTCTTTCTAAACTTAGGTTTTTAAAATTTGAGGGTGTCTTGGAATCCCCTGATAATCTGTTAAAAAACTATAGTCCTCCTGAAAAATGCATACACACACAGAATTTTTTAACAATTTCATTGAGCTCTTGGTTTCTTTGGGTAGAGCTAAACTGATCATTGTTTGACTTTGTTTTATGCAATTAAAAATTCTATTCTTTCAATTACAGGGTTTTAGAATCTGTAGATTTGCCAGCCAATCAGCGTTTAGAGGGTATATGTCAATCAGAACATGAGGACAGCTTTTCAAATATTTCAAGTAAGGACAGTTTTTTAATTTATTAAACTACAGTTGATTTACAATATTGTGTTAGTTTCAGGTGTACAGTGTCAGATTCTTTTCTGTTACAGGTTATTAACAAGATATTGAATATAGTTCCATGTGCTTTATAGTAAATCCTTGTTGTTTACCTATTTTATATATAGTGGTGTTTATTTATTAATCCCATGCTCCTAATGAGTAAGGATAATTTTTAATGTTGCCAGTTTAGTTTCTGCTAAGTAAAATGACTTTATCAACATAAATTCTCTTTTTTAATATCTTCCTATCTCTATTTTTTTGGTTGTTGTTAAATCCATATTCATTGTAAAGAAACATGCTAAATCTTTATCAGTGTCCTGTGCAAAGGTAAACGTTACTCCTCCCTTACCTGTATAGTTACATTTTCAAATTGCGGTGGTAGGGATTACTTGATTTGTGATATATGTAGTGTTAATGTGTTTATATGTGAATTTATTATATATCTGTATTTATTTCCTAGTAAACTGTTTTGCTCATCAGTTTCTAAAAGGAACAAAGGTTGTTTTTGCTGCTTTATTTCAAATAGCCCAAGTATTTTTTGATCATACATATCTTAGAGTTCCCAGTTTTATTGAGTTAAGTACCTAATTACAAAATGTTAACAAACAATTGGTTGTGTATTTATATTATTGCCTACCTGAACAGGTGACTATTCAAATCTAAATTTTAAAACACTCAATCTGTAAGATTTTTTTCTTTACCATTTTGTGTCAGTATTTGCTTATACATTCTGACACCTAGAATCTATGTCATGTTTCTATCCCCTATTTTTTTTTTTACAACCTAACTCCTTCCCTACTATGATCTATGAGTATTTACTCTCTTTCTGTATCAGTAATGATAAGCATTAAAATTAACATGTGTGGCTTGATAGGCACTTAGTCAGTGCCTACAGCCATTATTATTTAATCCTAACAGCACTCCTATGAGGTTGATATTATTCTTCCCTTTTATAGAAAGGAAACTGAGGCTTTGAGTGATGGGAGTCATATAATTTGTCCAGGGTCACTTAGCTATTAACTGATGGCAAAGTCAGTCAGATTCAAATGCAGGCTATTTGATTTTTTTGTACATATTTATTTCTTCATTTTCTCTGCCTTAGAATTATTCATATTTCCTAGCACGCTGGTGATAGCATTTTGGCCTAATCTGTGATTATTTAAGATGCCATTAGGAGGCCAGTTTACTTCAATTGACAATCATTTGGAGACAGTATTAATTTGTAATTATACTTTTTGAAATCCCTTTTCTCCTTTTAAAAGGTTTTTCTAATCGTTTTTAAATTACAAAAGTAGTACATGTGACAGTATCAAGGTACGTAGCCTTCCCATGCCTTTATGCCCACTCGCTGAGGTAAAGTTAACAGTTTAGTGTGATTTCTTCAACATCAGCATGTTTATATGAATATATATACTTCTACATAAACAGATACGAGTTTTCCCTCTGTTTAAAAGTTTTACAAAAATGGGACGATACTAGACTAGCTGCTTTATTTAACAGTGTATCACAGACCTCTTTCTGGCGTAATTCATATAGCTCAAACTCATTTTTTAATAGTTACATTATATTTTATATGAATCTAACATTATTAATTAAGCCATTTTCCATTTGATAGACATTCAGGTTGTTTCCAGTTTCTTACTCTTACAAATACTTCTTTAATAAACACCCTTGAACAATTGTACTTTCATGCTTATTGTTTCTCTAAAATAAACTTCTAAAGGTGGGGTTGAAGGATCAAAGAGTAAGCACATCTGTTATTTTCATAAATGATGCCAGATTATATGCCAAAATGTCATAGGATTCATGTGCAAATAACAGTGTGGGAGAATGTCCTTTCCTCACACTCTCAGTGGTATTGGCCGTTGACACTATAAGTAATTTTTTGACAATTTGGTAGGTATAAGGTGATATCTTATTTATTTTTTCTGAATACATGGAAACTTAAAAATCTTATTACGTATATATTGGCCCTTTTTACTCCTCCTTTGAATTGTCTGCTCTTACCCTATACCTGATTTGCTGTCAGATTCTTTATTTTTTGTCTTATCAGTTTTGTGGGAGATTGTTGTATATATTTTGCAATATTTTCTCTATTTTCTTATTATTTAACTTCATGCAGAATGGCAGATATTAAGTAATCAGATTCTTTGAAATTATACTTCGCTCGCTTAAGGTTCTCTTGCCATGGATTCTTATACCATTTATTAGTGATGTTGAGGAAGATGGACAAGTAATACATATGTTTGTATATGATGCCACATACAATAAATTATAAAAATATAACATACTATTATATATAATAGAATGTAGTAAGCTAAAGTAGTTGCAAAATATGGATACTTTTTAAAGTGTTAAATTCTTCATTTTGGAAAGCATTATTAAAACTTATTGCTATGGAAATTGAGTTATTTGTAGTGAGGTGGATGGACCTAGAGTCTATCATACAGAGTGAAGTAAGTCAGAAAGAGAAAAACAAATACCGTATGCTAACACATATATATGGAATCTAAATTAAAAAAAAAAATGGTTCTGAAGAACCTAGGGGCAGGACAGGAAGAAAGACACAGACGTAGAGAATGGACTTGAGGACACGGGGAGGGGGAAGGGTAAGCTGGGACAAAGTGAGAGTGTGGCATGGACTTATATATACTACCAAATGTAAAATAGACAGCTAGTGGGAAGCAGCCGCATAGCACAGGGAGATCAGCTAGGTGCTTTGTGACCACCTAGAGGGGTGGGATAGGGAGGGTGGGAGGGAGATGCAAGAGGGAGGAGATATGGGGATATATGTATATGTATAGCTGATTCACTTTGTTATAAAGCAGAAAGTAACACACCATTGTAAAGCAACTATACTCCAATAAAGATGTTAAAAAAAAAAAAGACTTATTGCTATGATCACTACTTTTGCTTTTTTTGTTAAAGTAAAATCATATTTTATGGTATTCATCAAGTCATCCTATTAAGTTTGATAAATATATTATTTTATCCACCTATCCCTTTATTCCCTTCAATGTATTTTTTCAACGTAAGAAAAATTTTCGAACACACAGAAAAGTTGAAACAATTGTATAGTCAACACTCATATACCCACCATCCGATTCTCTAGTTAACATGTTATTCTCTTTGCTGTGTCATTTATCTCTTTTTTAATGCATCAATCCAGTTTATTTTTTGATGCATTTCAAAGTAATTTGCAGACATAAGTACATCTCCTAAACACTTCAATGAATGAACATCATTATCTAGAGTTAAATATTTGTTTAGAATTCTCTTTTATTTTTGAGGTAAATTATATTCAATGAAATGGGCAACCTAGGTGTATCATTTCATGAGTTTTGGCTAACACATAAACTGCAAAACCTAAGTCCCTCTTAAAATCAAGACCATTACCTTTTTGCAGAAATCTCCCTCGTGCTCTTTCCCAGTCAATCCTCACCCCCATCCCTACCCCAGAAGTCCTGATTTTTTCCACCATAGATTAATTGTGCCTGTTCTAGAACTTCAGATAAATGCAATAACATGTTATGTACTCTTGTACATACTGTTTGTTTTTGAGATTCATCCATGTTGCATATATCAGTGGTTTATTCCTTTTTAATGCTTAGTATTATGGTATGACATAGACATTTTTGAAAATATGAATTTCCAGTTGCAGCACCATTTTTTTTTTAAAGATGGCTTTGGTGTCTTTGTCAAAAATCAAATGAGTATAAATGTGGATTTACTTCTGAGCTTTGTGTTCAGTACTTAGTAGTGTGGTGTGAAGTAAGCATTTTTTTTTCCTCATACTAATTTCCAGTTAGTAAAAAGGGCCAATATATAATTTCCAGTTGTTGCAGAACCATTTTTTGAAAAGCGTTTTGCTTTCCATTTGGATTGCTTTGCTGCCTTTATCAAAAATCAAATGACCATGTAAATGTGGGTATATTTCTGGACTTTCTATTTAATTCTGATAATATTATTTGTCATTCTTTATGTCAGTACCATATTCTTTTGTTTACTATAGCTTTATAGTAAATCTTGAAGTCATATAGTATAAGTCCTCCAATTTTGTTCTTTTTCAAGATTAGATTCTAGATTCTTTGCCATTTCCACTTAAGTGATAGAATCTGCTTTTCTATAATAAAGCCTATGCAATTTTGATTAGGATTTTATTGAATCTACAGATCTATTGGGAAGAATGTCAGTTCCTAACAATATTGAACCTTCCAATCCATGAACAAATGACATGAATCCATAAACAAATTTCACCATTTGTTTAGATTTTCTTCAGTTTCTCTCAGTAATGTTTTATAGTTTTCAATGCCACATTGAGCTTTTAATGGATTTTAAAACTGTAATTCCTCTTTCTTTTTTTCCTGATAGGCTCTGGATCAGTGTCACTATATGAGTTAGAAAGATGTCAACAACTGTCAGCTACAAGTAAGACCATTTTCATTTTTGTATTATGGGCACAAGAGTGAGTATTATGAAGTCTGTCCTTATACTTATCTATCCACGAGGGCAAAAACATATCCATGTTAATTTTAATCAATTCACACTATGTATTTAGTGGTGTGTCCATAAAGGAGTTCCTTAAAATATGCCCCAAAACTTTAATGTAAGCAATGATAGTTAATCTATCAGATACCCACCTTCTGATACTTCAGCTAAGATTTAAAAAAAAATTAACTATTTCTAAGCACAAGTCTATTAAATAAAATTCTGTAATATACTATTATAAAGATATGAGTTTCTCATTATTGGAGAAAGGACGTATAATTATGAAATGGGCTAGAAGAAAGAAGCTGTGGTATTGTATTAGAATTGGAGGTGTCAGTATGTACTCATGGTTTTAGAGACAGATACAGAAATAGATATATGGGTGTTTGTATATATGTATTCACTCACATATACATTCATACACATGCAGGTGCACGTGTATAAGTATAGGTATGAACACGTGTGCATATGTGCCCGAGCTCTGTTGATGAAAGGGCATAAAAACAAGGACACCCAGTAGCAATGAGTACACCTAGTGCACAGATCTTAGTTTATAAGTAATATCCCCAATCAGGGCTTCTTGGAGAAATAGCAGATTCCAGGGTTGGGACAAGAGAATTATAAGGTGATTCTGGAACATCTTGTTGTGCCAGAAAGTAGAGAATTTCTCAGGTTAATGGTGGCAGATGTCAAATCTCATACAATTTGAGTATCAAAATAAAAATTACTAGTGATGGCATAGAACTGATTGAATAAAGTAGGAATCTATTAGTCCATATGGATAGCAAATAAATGAACAAAACAAATAAATAAATGAGGTTGAATGGAAAACTGTTATTTAAAATAGAATGGCAGCAGATAAATGTAAAGAATAATGAAGTTAGAGAAAAATCACCATTTTTCAATCATGATAGTAATTATTTAGTTGCTAATCGTCAATGGATCTTAAACTAGCAGGATCCTAAATGTTTAATGAAATTGGGATATTTATATTTTATCAAATACTTTCTTATTAGTTATAAAGGGAGAAATAATAAGTTTATAGTGGAGAAACCTGCTGAACACCACCTTAATCAGCTGAGCAAAGTTAACATACCCAGGAATGAAAACGCTGATATCATGTGCCTTTTGATGTCATGCAATGAGGCCACAATATCACTTACACAGTAGTATTCCTACCAAAAATGTGTAATTGGTATCTGATCATGGGAAAAACCAGACACACCCAAATAAATGGCCTCTACTCCTCAAATATATTAGCGTCCTGAAAGACAAAGAAGAGCTGAGGAACCATTCTCTACATTGAAGGACTCCAAAGAGACAGGAAAAATAAATGCTACACATGGTTCAGGATTGGGTCCTAGATCTGAAGATAAAATGCTAAATAAGAGCATTATGGGGATAGTTGGAGAAATTTGAATAATGTCTGTTGATTCCGTGATAATCAGTGTTAAGTGTTCTGATGTTGAAAATTACCTTGTAATATGTTAATGAAATTGCTTGTTCTTGTGAAATACATACTGAAGTACTTAGGGAAAAAGGGACAAAATGTATGGAAGTTACTATCACATATCTGCAAGGTTTATGTATATATGGAGAGATGGAGATAATGACAGTTGGAGATGATGATAAATGTGGCAAAATGTTACCAAAATGGACAATTAATACAACTTAATTGGATTTGATTGTGTATGTTTGTTTCACGGGGATTCATGCCATGAATATACTTATATCCTTGCAGATTTCTCTAACTTAATTCAAAAATTCTTTATAGTACTTACGGATCATCAGTATTTGGAGAAAACCCCACTGTGTGCTATTTTGAAACAAAAAGCTCCTCAACAATATCGTATCCGAGCAAAATTGAGGTCATATAAGCCCAGAAGACTCTTTCAGTCTGTTAAACTTTATTGTCCTAAGTGTCATTCACTGTAAGTATTTTCCATAACAAAACCAAAGTTTTCATTTCATGAAATTTGTGTATATATGTTTTCTTATGTGTCAGTTTAAGTCCTGACAAGAGTAAATTGTGGTTTTAATGTATTGTATTTTGAAAGAATGGTAATCTTTTTAAGAGAAAACACTAATTCTTAGAAAATAAATCCTTTTGATGTTTCTTAGTAATAGTAAATAAAAGTAGTTGCTGTTTTCAGATCTGAAATTCAATTTAGTAGCTCTGATAAATGCAAACAAATAATAACTGTGAAAAGCTGTATAGCACAGGGAACTCAGCTGGGTTCTCTGTGATGGCCTAGTTGGGTGGGATGGGGCCGAGGGGAGGTCAAAGAGGGAGGGGATGTGTGTATGCGTATGGCTGATTCACTTTGCTGTGCAGCAGAAACTAACACAACTTTGTAAAGCAATTATACTCCAATAAAAAAATAAATAAATAAATATAATAATTTAAAAAAAGAAAATATTTGGGGGGGGCTTTCTCATTTGTCACAAAAAAATCTTGAAAGTAAACCATTGTTAGCTAAAATCCTTAAATAGAAAAGATTTCTGGTTAGTTGAAATTCCTAATTAAGTGTTAAGAGAAAGCCTTGTTGGAAATATTCCTGTCCTGCTTAATAACTACCACACAGTGGACATAATTGGAACTTTTGTTGGTGATTAAGGATTTCTCAGTTCCTCAAAAGCTTTATTCTAAACATCAATTATTTTATAAATAAGTAAATAAATTTATAAGACATTAGAATGAATATGTACTTACTAACTCAAGACATATTCTGAAAATTATTTTTAATCCCTCTTTTATGCAATTTGACTGTCTTCCCTCTATATATGTAACATGAACATGTATATACATCTCCATTATATTTATGTGTGTGTACATTGTGTGTATGCTGTGTACACTAATGTACATATATTTTCCCCTTCACAATCTAAGTATAATACTGTTTGTGGAGATTTTTGATCATCAGATCTCCTTATACAAAACAGGGGACCATCTTCTACCCATTTTGGCTTGAAATGGTAGTTGGAATTGAAATATAAGTACAGATTTTAGATAGTCTTGAAGTATTATCAAATTATAGTTCGTAAGATCCTGTAAAAATCACATAGCTTTGCCAAACAAAACCACCCTCTATGATAATATTTTTAACAAATAGGGAAATCATCTTAGAAATGTTAAGAGGTTTTACCTAAATTTACACAGCTGATTGGTGACAGAACCAAGACAAGGAAATAGACCTTTTGATTCTAGATTATGCGATTTCTACTGTATCATATTTTACCATATGACTTTTGAAAATTATATTCTAGATTAAAAGGAATCAAATGGAATATTGGTTTGCAAAGTAGGTACCCAATGAAAGTGATATTACTTAAGTGGTAAGTGGATATTTAGCTGGAGTGAAGACGGGGCTCCTGCTGGGAAGTTTAGCATTCCTTACAGAGGAGAACAGTTTGGTGCTAGAAATAATGGTGTCACAAAACCAGGCAAGGAAATTGCTGGTGGTTAATGTAATTATGATATGGATCTAATTAGCCATAAAATGTCATCAAATAGCTTTCTATTGAATGAGCCATGTAATCTGCAGAGTGTTATCTCCATGTTTTAAAATAAGTAGCTGGTTCATAAGCATATAAACAATTTTTTTATTGGATAGTTTGTTAAATTTGAATTTCCAAGCTTATACCAATTGTTTTTGTATTATTTCATTGTCAATGATTTTAGGCAAGAAGTTCCACATGAGGGTGATTTGGATATAATTTTGCAAGAGGGTGCAACCAAAACCCCAGATAGCAAACTACAAAATACATCATTATATGATTCAAATATCTGGACCACTAAAGATCAAGGAGAACGAAAAGTAGCTGTTCATTTTGTGAAAAATAATGGTATTCTCCCACTTTCAAATGACTGTCTAATTTTGATAGAAGGTATGATATTTAAGTTGCTGTTCTTTTAGAATATAGCTTTTGCTTATGTGTTTCTCTGATTGATTATTATTAAATATATTTTAGGGGCAACCTGGGACATGTAAAGTCAAAATACTGTTAATTTAAATTTCAAATAATGTAATATATATAGCAACTAGATTCAAATACATACATATACACATATATATGTAAATTTATCTGAATGACATTTTGAAATTACACATTAAACTCAAGTGTTTGCATTTGTCCATCTTGTTGGATTCCTACATGTCATCTTAATGAGACCCAAGGTGACTGCTGAGCTGAATAATAATCAAGAAGCTGCTTGTTATGTATAGTTGCTGTTACCTTGGCCTCTGGATGTCACTCTTGTTTCATAAAAATAGAATGAAAGTCATCTATTGATAGTTAAATCAAGTAATGATAACCTGACATATTTTAAGAGAATGAAACTTTGAGTCAAATTTAATTCTGCATTTCTTTTATACTTTTGTCTTATTTTTATCTAATATTTATCTAATAATCCATAATAAAAGGGGACCATCATCTTTAATTTGCATTAGAGAAATCTTTCATTTTGTGAATGAACTGATCTTTCTTACAATGGATTATGATCATTTTTATTCCTGGCATTTTTCTGTTTATAAAAGTAACACATAATCATTTTAGAAAATAATGTATATATGTGAATACACATGTATATAAACATTGATATTATTTTTATGAACATCACTTGTTTTAATACATTTATAGCATACCAGAAACTAATTAATTTAATCATCACAACAATCCTGTGAAGTTGGTACTATTATAAGCTGTTTTTTATACATGAGAAAACTGAACCACAGAGGAGATAAATGTCTTCCCTAGTAGTGGGTGGTGAAACTGAATTGCTTCCAGTTTTTTACATAGCAACTCTGTGATGAACTTTATCTCCCGCCTGAAGTGTATTTGGGCACAAGGAATTAAGTGAATGTTGCCCAATTACTTTCTAGTAAAGTTATCATAATGTGCACATGCTTTAGCAGCATGTGAGATTATCTGTTCACCTACCCTCCTCCTAATATACTAGCTTTAGAAAATTTGGCCATTTTGATGAGTGAGATGTGACATTTTATTCCATTAGCAGTATTTTAATCTGTACCAGGAGATAGATGTAAAAACAGAAGGACAAAGACACAGACACACATACATATGGAGTAAATCTATTTATATGGCCTAAAAATAAAATAAAGCTGTGATCCCATCAAGCTTTATTAGAACTGTCCTTGTAGGGCCAACTCAGAGGATGTCAAGTATGCCTTCGGCTCCTTCTGTGCTTTGCTGCCTCCCACAGAATTCTGTGCTGGAGCCATGTTGGCCTTGACGGTCCAAAGGAAGCTTGAATAAAGAAGTCCCCTTAGTTCCTGATCCTATCTTTAAAATTACCAGTCAACCCTCAAGCTTTCAGTCTCACCTCCTATCACAGGTCCCATCCCACCCTCTAGCCATATTGAACTGGTGATAATTCCTAAACCTAGTATATTCCTCTGGGCCTCTTTGCCATTCTGTCACTGTTCTGAGAAATTCTGCTCTAATACGTCTTCAGAAGTAAACTCAATAATTCCCTTTACTCAGCAATTCATATAAAATATTTAACAAACACCTACATGCATCAAGCACTTTTCTGATTTATCAGGCAGATTTGAGTGGTTCTTACTGCATGCTGTATGAACTTCTAGTAGAGCACTTCTTATATTATATTTGTCTTTTATCTGTTTGTAGATTTGTTTATTTATTAGAATGTAAATTCCCCAAGGTCAGAATACATGTTCTTTTAATCTATGTATCTTTAGCACCTAGAGTAGTAAACCTGGCATGTAACTGGCTCTCAGTAAATATTTATTGAATATATAAGTACATCCAAAGTAGTAACAGTTTACCTTACAGAGCCTTTTAAAAAAGTCAAATGAAAGTGTTTGTGAAAGCACTTTAAAAGGGTTTCATCAAAATGTAAGCTATTTTTATTTTATCATATTTCTGAGTATTGTAACTCTAAGCATAGGCTAAGATCTAACTATAGGATGACACAGCAAACCTGTGGTTTCCAGCTATCACAGAGCTGAGGGAAGAGGTATGGGAGCTGGGCAAGTTAAAATGCCATGAAACTTGCTGTTCTTATAAGATTTACCCACTTTTTTTGAATAAACACTCCTTGGATTGTTGCAAGCCTTTGGTTAATTTCTAGAGTTCTGAAAAAGTTGAATTTGACAATTTTTGCCAGTTGTTTTTGCTATTATGGAGAAGTGTATTTTTGGACGTCCTTACTCTGCTATGCCAGAAATGCTTCCTCCTCACAATTGAATTTTAACATTACAAATTTTACACAAATTTTAGGAAATACTCAGAAGTATTTTTATAAATCATATTCTCTTTCCCTGGAGAGGAGGAATTATCAATCTAAGTGAAAAATACACCAGAAAAGGTACCGGGGGGTTTGAGTAATCAGAGATAATGCTGCCTTTTAATAATTGTGCACCGTTGAGCATACTCTTTCTTCTCAGCCAACATGATGGTTTTAATACCCACCCTGTTGTAGCATTAGGGTAAGTAAGTGTGATGGTTTCCATAGGAAAAATGAATAAACACTCTACAGGAATTCCTATTACATAAACTGTTTGCATCTATATTTAAATTCAGTGTTAAACTGAAAAGATTTATTTCAAACTCAAGACCAAAGTTGTCTAGACATTAGTAGTATATAGCAAATTTAATAATGGGAATCCTGTCATATTTTGACTCTCAACTTCATTCTTTTTAGATCATTTGAACCAAAGTATTCCTGGCATAAAGAGCAATTTGTATAAATTTTAAAAGTTCATATTTCACAAACCTTATATTTTGCTCAAATCTCAGCATTTTTGCTCAGTGTTTGCTTTAATCAATGAATAGGATCCTAAGCTTACAAATTATTATTTTTAACAATAAATGTATAAGTGCATTAAATCTCTTAAATTCATGGTATGTGTTGTCTTTTTCTGTCAATCCCTTTAGTCCTTTACTGTTGATCATGTGTTACTTAATAAGTACCCCAGTTTGCTTACTTTATATTTGTACTACTTGAAGGGTTTATTTGTTCTCTTTTAATAGGAGGTACACTTAATGAAATCTGCAAACTCTCAAACAAGTTTCATAGTGTAATTCCTGTGAGATCTGGCCATGAAGACCTGGAAGTCCTTAACCTTTCAGCACCATTCCTTATACAAGGAAAAATACATCACTATGGGTACGTCTTCAATAATGGGAATTTTTAATTTTATTTATTACTTTATTCCACTTGTTACTATATATTCAGTGGATACTTATTTAGTACCAATTTATAGGTACTAGATTTTTTGGCATATATCTATTCTTTGGATACCATATATATTGAGTGCCTACAGTATGCTAAGTTTAATGCTGTCCCAAAGGCTAATATTCATTTGCTTTCTTTCATAACAATTTAGAGATTAGTTACAGAGAAAGTTCAAAGCTGTATCCTAGTAAAAGTTAAGTGATTGAATTCCAGAATTTTTGTGCCACAAAGTTATAAATGAGTTGCCACTGAGAAACTGGAAGATATCAGAACACATTAGGAGCTACAAACAGATGTCTAGGTTTGGAAGGAGGCAATATAGATAGAATCTCTGTTTCCACTTGATGAAACAAGCACCCTGGAAGTGCTCTGCTTTGAGAAACCTTGGATTATAGAATATTTTCTGCTTTATTGGAAAATACCAAATTGTTTTTCTAATGATTGTAATATTTTATGGTCCAATCAGCAGTGTGTAAAAATTTGTTTACCCCGGGTTAGCTCTTGGTGTTAGTCTAACTTGTAATTTTGTTAGACTGCTGAGCATCAAATAGTATCTATGTTGTTTTTGTTTGCATTTCCTAGATGACTGGGGAGTTTAAACAAGTCTCATGTTTATTGGCTATTTAGGTTTTCTCTTCTGTGAATTCCATATTCACATTTTTCTATTCAACTACTGGTCTCTGTTTTGGTTCTTGTGTGTGTGTTTAGATGATTGTAAAAATTCTTTCTATATGAGAGATACTAAACATTTGTCAGTTATGTGCATTTCATCAAACTTCTAGTCCTGTACTTTTTAACTCTATGCTTCCTTATGTTTTACAGATTTTTAAAATATTAATATAGTCATATTTGCCAAAATGTTTGACAAGACAAAGTTTTTGCAAAACTTTACTTAGATTTCTGGATCTGATGCTTTTTTAATGGAACAGAAACTAATGCTTCAGTTTCTTACTAGTTACACATCTTTTAAGGATTTCTGTTTCTTCTTGCATCTATTTTATTAATGAAAGTTTTCTAGAGAAGTATTTCATTTATCTTTTAAGTTTAAATTTATTGAGATAAAATAATTCATAGTACTTTCTGATGATTTTTAAATCTCCTCTTCATCTGTTCTTGAATCCACTTCATATTATTTGCTCCTTTTTTTCCCTTGGACTTTTTTGCCAAAGCAACTAGCTTTTGTTTTTGTTGATGCTCTCTATTTTTTTTATTATTGTTCTTAACTTTATTTTCTTCCTTTACTTTCTATAGGTTTCCTTGGTATTTCTTTTTTGTAATGTTTTTAATTGAATGTTTACCTCACTTAATTCATTATTTTTAATATGTTTTTAAATATTTGTATTTAAGTCTGTAATATACCTCCTGAGAAAATAGCCATAGCTTTAACCGAAGATTTGATATGTAGTGTTTTTCTTGTCACTTCTCAGTGTTTCGCAATTCCTATTATGATTTCTTTGGCCCATGAATTATTTCACTGTGTATTTTAAATTTTTCCACACACTCATTTTAGGTGCTATGTTTTTGTTTGTATTTTAGTTAGATTACTTTTTAACCAAGTAGCGTGTTGCATTTCATAATGATTCTTTGAGATTTGTTTAGTTTTGCTTTATCCTAGAATGTGTTTCTTCATAATTTGTACATATTACATAGATTTTAAAAAGAATGTGTATTCTTTAACAGTTGTGTTTAGTGTTTAATAGTGTTTAGTTATGTCCATTAGACAAGCTTGTTAACCGTATCCAAAACTTATCTTTCCTTTGTAACTTTATCTGTCTAATCACTTCTTAGAGACTGTGCTTAACGTCCTCTGTGATTGTAGGTTTGTGACCTATTATTCTGTCAATGTGTGCTTTATATGTTTTGAGTCCTTTCTGCTTGCTCACTCAGGTTCGGTATTTCATCTTCTGGTGAATTCATTGTACTGTATATCCTTATGTAATGACTTCATCTTTAATCGTGATTTTTTGCTGTAAGGTTTATTTTTTTCTCGTTTTCTTATTACTATATCAGAGTTTTTTTGGTTGGTAATTGCATGGTGTATCTTATTCTCATCCCATTGCTTTTATGTTTCTTTGTTGTTATATTTTAGTAGGTCTCATAAATAAATACTTATCAGTAGGTTTTAGTTGTTTTTTAATAGATGAGTTTAAAATACGTTAACTACTGAAACATTTAGGTTTTATTTCTATACTGTATTTCTTGTTGTTTTCCACTTATCATACTATTATTGTTTCTCTTCCCACCCCTTTTTTTGTTATTACTTTATTTTTTTTTCCAGTCTTCTGTTGGATTAATTTATAAAAATGTTCTCATTTTTCTCCTTTTTCCTCTTTTATTACTTCGGAAGTAATGAATTCTCTAATTTATGCTTATTACTCTTAATTTTTAATTTGTATACTTGCTTTATCAATGTCTAACGTTTAATATCACAGCCTTTTTTTTTTAAGAAACTAATACTCGTCATTCAATTACCTTTTTCTGTTAAAGAAAAAACTTCTATGTATTTAAAGAATGGAAGGGGATAACATTTAATATAGTTACCCTCTGTTTTCCCCCAGATTGCAAATGAAAAGGAATCTGCATGAACTTTTTTTTTTTTTTTTTTTTTTTT